TTGTTTAAAAATATATATATTACAGAGCCATCTTTTCAATTTCCTACAAGAATCTCCTGGACTGATTAATTGCAGCTCGGGAAAATGGATCAGAAGGGAAGAATGACAAAAACCCATTTACACTGTGTATATATATGTGTATATATATATATATATATATATATATATATATATATATATATATATATATATATATATATATATTTAAAAAATGACACTTGTAAAACCAGCTGGCAAAGCAGATGATTTTAAGCGATTAATAAGAAGGAACGTGGAGGAAATTCCAGAGCAATGTAAATTAAAAAAAAAAACTCTAATTCAATCCACCTAATGCTCGTCAGCCGTCTCCAATCTGGCGTTTTGATGAAGTGTGCCAGTTGCAATTCCTGGCTGTACAGATAGTCCTTGACTTAAAATCATTACTTTAGTGACCAAAATGACAGAATCATGGTCCTCACACTTACAACTGTCACACTTTCACATAAAAGTGTGAAATCACCTTTTTTTTTTTTTAATGCTGTTGTAACTTTGAATGGTCACCATACAGGTAGACCTCACTAAAGTTCAGGTCTACCTGTAAATATTGCTTCCTAACTGGGAAGTGAACTCAGATCTCCTAGTTGCTTGGATACATCGATTCAAGGGTCAACAAATCTTTTTCAACTATGGCCCCTTCCCTCAAAAGTCACCGCTGAGTTGGCCCTAATTCTAAGGTCCCTAAGAGAAACAGGAATAAAATTTTGATTTTCTCCGAACATTTGCAAAGGTTAAACCGAAAGCCAAATGCAAGCCCTTAATGCTGTGGTTTTTATCTGTTCTTTGGTTGGAAAATAACCCACCGTAAAATAATGCACTGCGCAAACCCCCCTTAAATTAAATTAAATTCCTACAATGCAATTTGGGAGCTGCAAGAGAGGAGTTCAGAGGCCTCGCTGTAATTCAACGCCAGGGTACCTGAAACCCCCCACTAAAATTCCTTTCCCCCCCCCCCTTTGGGATAGAAAAAAAGGAGGAAATGCATTTAGCAACATCTGGCAGGTCTCCCCAGCCTGCTTTAACCACTATGCTCCGTTGTCTCGGGAACCATTTTCTGCCACTGGCTTCCCACCTATGGGGAGACCCCTGGGAGGATCTCTTTGAGATTGGGAAGGGTGGCAGCCATGAAGGCTGCGGAGGGAGAGAGAGAGGGAGGGCAGAAGAGCATCCTCTTTCTCCAGCCTTTTGCAGCATCCCTGGATTCGCACCTTAATCCCAAGGGAAGAGGTTTATTCGGAGAGAGGAGTGTGGGCAGCAGAGGGACAGAAAGGGACATTGCTCCCTCTGGCCATCTGCAGCTTCCCTGGCTGTCCGTCCTTCCTTTCAGTCCCCAGAAGCTTAGAATTTTCTTGCCTTTCCACCCACTTCTTTCATTCTCAGCAGGAAAATTCCATTTTCCCCCCCCAGAGAGATTTTCAGTAGCCATCACACCAGCTCTCTAAAATGAGCATCTTTGCCTCGAGAGAGCGGGGGAGAGGGAAATCTACTCTTTCCTCTGGAGATACTCTGGAGAAAGAATCCCACCCCATTCTCTGCTCGTAAATGAGAAGAAGGAGGAGGGCGGAGGAGAGAATTTCACAAGAGCCCAGATTTTAATTGCCCCCTCTTCTGTCTCGGGAGACGTGGTTGAATTCCCCAGCCGGCAACTTGTGGCAGAGAGAATGGGAGAAATTGCAAAGATTCAAGACAAGCAGCAAAATTGCACACGGCTGGGGGACGCACATCCTCCAGGCCGTTCATTGGCTGGCGGTGTCTGGGGAGCAAAGGGAAACGGCACAAGTGTTGGATGCCAGGGCTCAAATCTGCAAAGCTGTATAATTAAGGAGAGCAAGACATGCTGGAGGACAATTTTCACAGGGCCTTTTTGACTCCAAAGATTAAACATTCCTCAAAAATCTGAAAGGTTAAAAGTTTCATCCAGCACGATCCGCCAAGCTGAATTTTCTCATTGTGCCAAAGCAGGTATGTTTCAGAAGGGTTTCCCCCCCCCACCAGCCATTAAATGACATTTTGCCTGCAGCTCATGGGTCATTCGAAACTTGATTTAAAGAGGGAGAAGTCACCAAAAAGTGGCAGATGAGGGTTGGACTAGAAGACCTCCAAGGTCCCTCCGTTATTCTGCATTCTGTAATGAATATACAACTTACAACAATTCATCTAGTGACTGTTTGAAGTTACAATTGCACTGGAAAAAAGGGACTTATGGCCATTTTTCACACTTACGACCATTGCAGCATCCCTGTGGTCACGTGATCCAAATTCAGAGGCTTGGCAACTGGCATGTACTTAGGACGGTTGCAAAGTGCCGGGGTCACCCGATCCCCTTTTGCGACCTCCTGACCAGTAAAGTCAATGGGGAAGTCACTTAACAACCTTGTTACTAATTTAACAACTGCAATGATTCGCTTAACAATTCCAGCAAGCAAAGGTGGTAAAATGGGGCAAAACTCACCTAACAAATGTCTCTCTTATCAACCTAAATTCTGGGCTCCGTTGCGGTCGTTAAGTTGAGGACTACCTGTACAGGGAAAAGATCGGGATAGTGATTAAAGCGCCAAGCTGAGTTTTATTCCTGCTTTGGGCACAAAGCCAACTGGGTGATTTTGGGCCTATCCCCCCCCCCCGTCTCTATATGAGGAAGGAGAAGACAAGGACAAAAGACTTTTGAAAATCTTGCCAAGAAAACTGCAGGAAACTCATCCCGTCTCCAGGAGTCAATGCTGCCTGGCCAGCACACAGGTACACACACACACACACAAACACAAAATTGGGCAGAAAGCAAAACAGGGGAACAGTTTTGAAAAAAGGGGTTAAGTCAGAGAGAGAAAAAGTTGAGAATGCTGCTTCAAGAGAGTGGCAGCTGGTTTTGGGGCATATCAATTAAAAAACCAACCACAATTGCCATTTTGCTGCAGAGTTTCGTATGAAACAGCACTTTCCTTGGATGAATTGTTGGGAAAGAACATTAACTGACAAGCACGCTTCATCATTCACGCAAACACACCCACAAAATACCTGCACACACACACACATACTGAGCCAAAGATAGGAAACTTTTTTTTTTTTTTTGCATTTCTGCCAGGAGTGTGTCAAAAAAAACTGGCATCAACGTTCAGTTTCCCCTGGATCTCTCCTTTAACAATTCAGGCGTACATCAAGTTTCTAGTCCTTATGGCTGTAAAAAATGCAGGAGAGATTTGCTGGATTCCCAGAGCATTAATCCATATTGGCAGTTAAAGGGGAGGATGGTTCCCTCTTCCTCTTCCCCACGGCCACATCAGCAAAAGAAATTATGCAAAAGAGCTCCTCAGCTACCTGAATCAATTATGCAAAATCAGAGCCGATCTGCATATGTACATGATTTATGCAAGCTGACAGATTCAGCAACCGCTTTGTGCGGTTTTAGAGGCGCCCTCAGGCCTCATCATCAAAGTAGGAAATAAAAAAAAGAGAGAAAGTTATGAGTTATCACCAATCAGGATGGAAACCCAGGAAAAACTTTTTGGGGAGAGAAACAGAGACCAGCTCAGAGCGAAGTATTTTATCCACCCATTTCACAGAAGACTACTGAGGCTTGAAGAAAGCTAAGGGTCAGGATCTGACAAATGCATGGCCCTGCTTCAATTTTCCTTGCTCTTCTTACACCCCCTGGTTTCAGAAATCCTGCCCATCTATACATCATGTATATCAGTCTATATCCCTGTCTGTCCATCTATGACTCATCCGTCTATCCATCTGTCTATCCATCTATATTGCCTGTCTATCATCGTCAGAGCCACGGCGACACAGTGGTTAGAAGGCAGTATTGCAGGCTAACTCTGCCCACAGCCAGGAAGTTCATCTGACTGGCTCAGGGTTGACTCAGCCTTCTGTCCTTCTGAGGTCAGTAAAACGAGGACCCAGATTGTTGGGGGGCAAGAGGCTGACTCTGTAAACCGCTTAGAGAGGGCTGTGAAGCACTGTGGAGCGGTATATAAGTGCTATTGCTATCTATCCATCCATCTGTCTGTCTGTCCATCTATTCACCCATTCATCAATCCCTCCGTCTTTCCATCCATCTTTCCATCAGGCTTTTTGCAAGCAAACTTTCAAGTTGCATCCAGACAATATACGGAACCAGCCATCAGGCTTTGTTAAGCTGGTTTCCGTACATTGTCTGGATGCAACTTGAAAGTAGCAGTCCTTGTTGTGACAAATCCCAGGTTAGAGGTCTGAAAGGACAAGATGACCCCACTCTTCCAGGGTCGACATGTTTGGTTCGAGGGCTCTGCTCAAGCCACAAAACCTGCACTTGTGAACCAGGGTTTGTTTCAAATCTGGGTTGTACAGGAAGGGACCGACTTTTATTGAATTGAATTTTATTGAGTTGGGGTTGAAATGGAGGTGGAGGAGAAAGGAGGAGGAGGAGGAGGAGGAGGAGGAGGAGGAGGAGGAGGAGGAGGAGAAGAAGAAGAAACATCTGCTATGCCCAAAGAACAAAAATATTTTTATTTGCTTTGAGAAATACATCTCTCTCTCTCTCTCTCTCTCTCTCTCTCCCTCCCTCCCTCCCTCCCTCCCTCTCTGTAATCTAGTTGGCTGAGAAGTGTTCACTTAATACACACACACACACACCTTTTCTTTCACACACCTCCCCTGCTTGCAGCCACAAGCCACAATCCATCTCTGACTTTCCCACCAGCTGGGAATCCAGCCACGGTTCCCCCCCCCCCCAAGCCTTGGAGAAGGATCTCCCCAAGGATGCCTCTCAGCCTGGCTGTCTTCACCCAGCACAGCCAACCCAGAGCAAGCCCGGCAGACGCCTTCACACACCACGCTGGCTCATTCCACTCGGTCCGCGTTCACACGCGCTAAGGCGGCGGCGACTGGCAGGCGGGGGGGGGGAGCATTTCACACGTGGGGTCAGCCTAGCCCAACCCAACCCAGCGGAGGCAGCCTGGCGAGTCCCTGGTTTCGTGCGCCTCGCAAACCCAGAGACAGGAGGGGGAAACCCGCGTCCAGGTGCAGGCTTGCGTGGACGTCGCGGCGGCGAATGCCAGCCTGCGTGTTTTTTTAAAAGCGGCGCGACCCTCTCCGTCCCCGAGGCCCCCTCCCCACCTGCAGGCGAGCGAGGAAGAGGGTGGCAGCCGGCTTGCAAGACAGCTGCTAAGCCAGGGGACGGAGCCTTCAGAGCTCAGCGGATTCAGCCTCTCCCCCCCGGTTGGAGCAAACGGCACCCCCCAGGATACCCCCCTTCTCTCCCCATTGAGGAACTCTTGGCCTCCCTGACTCTCGCCACCTGCTTTTGGGGGACCCCTCGGAGCCGGGCAGAGGGAGATCTCCTTGCTGGAGCGTTGCCTTCTCTCGCCACCCCGAAACCCCCTTTCTTTTCCAACCAAAGATGGTCAACGAACGCTGGAAAAATGTGGGGAGATCGGCGCAGCTGGAGGACGGACCTCAGGAGAAATCTCAGGTAGGCATCGTCCGGATTTCTCGCGGAGGTGGGGGAGGACAGAGCGATTTAAGGATGGAAGGAAGGAAGGAAGGAAGGAGGGAGGGAGGGAGGGAGGGAGGGAGGGAAGGAAGGAAGGAAGGAAGGAAGGAAGGAAGGAAGGAAGGAAGGAAGGAAGGAAGGAAGGAAGGAAGAAGGGCGCCAAGCCACCAGGGCGCAGAGACGGAGTTGGTGCAGGGAAGCGCCCCATCTCCAAAGGGGATCCCGAGACATTTTTCAACACCTGGATTAGTTGCCCTTCAGCCGGCCATCTGAATGTGTGGGGCTGTCTGTTTGGGGTGGGGGGAATCCATCCTGCTGGAGAGATGTTAAACGGGGGGGTCCGCTTTGCCACGACCAGCCTTCTCGGTCTGGAGACGGAAAGCCGAAGAGGCGACCTGACAGGACAGGCTGGGACCTCGGGGATCCTTTCCAACGAGGAAGGAGAGAGCCCTCCTCGACCCCTGACCCCCACCCCCAAAACTTTTCAGCCTCCTGCTATGGGGGGGGGGCGGTGGGCGATTAAAAATAAAACCCCCAAACTAGCCAGGCGTTCGGCGCTCTTGAGGTTCTTGGTTAGCTCAGCCTTTTGCAGTCCATTGGAGCAGAGGAAGAGCTGGGGATTTGCGGCGGGGGGACGGGGGGAGGGCAGCAGCGGAGGGCAGAGTTGCACAGCCCCCCCCACACACATACACACCAGCATTGTGGAAACAGGTGTCCGTTTGCAAAAGGAAGGCTGCAGAAAGCAGAGGAAGGGATTGCGTTAGAGAGCCAGTTTGCCAAAAAGCAGGCAACGGTGAGTTCTAGTACTGCCTTAGCCGTGAAAGGCAGCTTGGGTGACTTTGGGTCAATCCCCAGGAGAGGGTGAGGTCTAGTCCCTCCTTAGGTCTGAAAGCCAGCTGGGTGACTTTCTGCCAACCACTAGGTGCCGGTGAGTTCTAGTCCTGCCTTTGGCATCAAACCCAGCTTGGGTAACTCTGGGCCAATCATCAGGAGGCTGGGAGTTCTAGTCTTGCCTCAGACTTGAAAGCTGGCTGAGTGGCTTTGAGTCAGTCCCTCTCTCTCATCTCAACCCACCTCACAGGGCTGTGGTTGTGGGGAAAGTAGGAGGAGGAAGGTGTGTGGGATACGTTTGTCCCCTTGCGCTACTTGTAAAAATAGTAAAAGGCAGGGTACAAAATAAATAGAAGCCATCCCGTGCCCTCTCCGATTCCTTTCCCGTCCCTTGGGAAGGGGCCTGGGGTGGCATGCGCCCAGTCTCTGGATGACTTTTTTGCCCTCCCTTTCCTCCCCACTCCCCAAGGGACCAGCTGGGAACCGGTGTGGCTGACGGTTGGCAAATGTGCCTTGAATTATTTAGTTTATTTGTTTATAGACAGAATGTCATCTCGGATTTTTCCTCTCTCTGGCTCAGGAAGAAGAAGGGGAAAAAAGGGAAGCCAGAACCCAAATGGCAGCTAGCTCAAGTCCCTCTCGTTTGCTCCGTCTTCCCCCACATCTGTTTGGAAAGCATAACTATCTTTTATTTTTTATTAATTTGTATCCTTGTTTTATTATTAATAACGCGTGGCAAGTGTATCTAATAGTCCTTCCTCCTACTTTCTCCATAACAACCCTGTGAGGTGGGCTGGGAGAGAGAGAGGGGGGGAGGAACTGGCCCAAAGCCAACCAGCTGGCTTTCATGGCTAGGCAGGACTAGAACTCACCGTCTCCTGGTGATTGGCCCAAAGTCACCCAACAGGCTTTTGTGCCTAAGGCAAGACTAGAACTTCTCATTGCCTGGTGATTGGCCCAGGATCACCCAGCCAGCTTTCATGCCTAAGGCAGGACTAGAACTCACCATCTCCTAGCTATCATTTCACTAACCGAACTTGGAGACTATAATCCAAATAAGCTGCTAAGCCCAGCAGCATCTTCACAATCTGAATGGGGAATCGGTGATGCCCAGTTTATTTGTCCCTCCAGCAGGTCTAGAACTCACTGTTTCCTAGTGATTGGCACAAAGTCATGCAGCCAGCTTTCATGGCTAGGGCGGGACTAGAACTCCCCGTCTCCCGCTTTCTAGCCTGGTGCCTAGAAACTGGCACCTTTGGAAGAATAAGGTCTCCCTCTAGATTGTCTGCATGGAACCCAACTGCCTGCTACTTTTAAGTCAGACAGGTCTCTTGGAGAATCCTTAAAGGGCTAGCGTCATTCCTTGCCTTTTGCTTCACCTCTGGGTCTATGCCCTGGCACAGGTGCGCAGTGGCCCTTTTGCAGAAACAGCAGCTATCAAGATATTTCTGCTTTTGACTCTGCTTCTTTGCAAGAAAGCATCCCTAACCCTCTCACCGAGGTGTGTGTCTCTGCACAGTTGCTAATTAGCAGATAATGTAATGGTCAGGCAGCCTACAGAAATGAGGAAGAGGGACGGGCACTGGCGTGCCTAACGCATACATGTCCGGATTTTGTGTCACACAGTCAAAGCTGCACACATGCACACCCGTCCACCAGCAAAGAGCAGGTTCTTAGTTAAGATCTCGCCTGCATTCCCTTGTAAAAATCAGGACAATAAATCCAACCTTAGAAATGCAAACATGTGCCAACTGGTGACAGGTGGCGCTGAAATAAAATATAGACATCCAGAAGGCCAGGCTCAGTTGGCAAAGAACCTTTTAAAAATGGGTCTACATCCTTTGCACACTGCTATTTCTATCGTCGTCTTAATGGGTGTGAGAAGCCAATCCACACCGTAATCACAGGTGTAGAAAAGGTTTTGTGCAATTCAATTTTAAAAAAAAATAGCGTGGACATTTTGGGCATGTTTTGACATTTATATGAATGAGAGACTCTACCTGCATGGTTAGAATTAAACCAGCTAACTTGTTTTGCTGCCTTAGTGTATTGTGCAAACTCAGGGTTGAGTTTAGGGTGCAATCAATTCCAGAAAATGGGATAATTTCTGGAAGGCATAGATACACTCCAGGTCAGATAGTCCTCTACTCACAATGGTAAATTTAGTGCTCGAAGTTACAACGGCACTGAAAAAAGTGACTTATGACCATTTTTATACTTCCGACCGTTGCAGCCTCCCTGTGGTCACGTGATCAAAATTCGTAACTGGTAACTGGTTCATATTTATGACGGTTGCAGTGTCCCTGGGTCACGTGATCCTCTGTTGTGACCTTCTGACAAGCAGAATCAATGTGGAAGTCAGATTCACTTAACAACCGGGTTCCTAACTTAACAAGTGCGGCGATTCGCAAGACAGGCCATCAAATGGGGCAAAATTCACTTCCACTTTGCAACGGAAATGGTGGCCGTTAAGCCTAGGGCTGCCTGTATGTAAGAGCTTCTCTATGTACAGAGGGTGGGAAAATGGAAAGTGCAATGACTTGATTACTCTATGTCTGCAAAATATGTGATAGGGCCACTGAATTGGGAAAGTCTTATTTTGCAGAGCTTTTTTGAATGTCTGTGGAGAGAGTCTTCAGAGTGCAGGATTTTGAGTATGAAACTTCTGCTTTTCTTGAGTGGCAAGGAGTTGTGACCTCTTGCCTTGAGGTCAAAAGGCAAAAGCCATTTCAGACTTCATCTACCTCTTCCCAATGCAAATGGGCACCATGTCCTTGGATATACTTCCACATACACACCCCATAACTCTAGAAAGCTTGGGCACCAAGGGAAAGTAGATGGCATGAGGGTGGCCTACCTTCAAGGCAAGGAGCTGGAAAGGTGGGAAAAGAAGTTCAGATGAGGGGGGCTTGGCCTTCACCAGAAGTTCCCTTAGATAGCCAGTTGAAGCTGCAGAAGAACACCAGTCTAGTGCAGAAGTCCTTCTCAAGTCATCAGAGATGAATCCAAGAACTGGGAAGGCTTTATTCATTTCCACAGGACATGTGTAGCACTTCCTGAAGAAGCTGAGGCGAGGTCATCCTGAGGGCTTGGCAGTCCTGCAAGACAATGAATGAGAAGTTGACTCTTCTTTCCAAGGAGAACTTTGGAGAAATCCTTTTGAGGGGAAGTGAGGTTCCCTGTGTGACAAGGTGGTGGAGATGGTGGCCCTATTTTTCATGCCATTATTGTCCCTCAAGTTTCTCTTGAGTAGAAGATCTCAAGAAGGAACCATTCCCAATGAGAACGTCTATTCTGGTGCTTCTGTCCATCCCAAGAGGCAGAAGCTGTCCTTTAGAGGATGGAGAACTTCTTCTTCCCTTGAAGAAAATCTTCATCCACTTTCTCTGCCCACAAATTGGGTGGAGATTTTCCAAGTTTTTCTTGGTGCCAAGTTCTTATAATTATTGAGATGATAACTGACTATTTCACCTGGGGTATCAAATGATCTGAACCCTATCAGAATGAGAATAAGGGAGTCTGATCAGACAGAAAGATTGGACACAGACTATCAGAAATTTTACTATTTAAAATGTGTTTTCCTCCAAGGAGTTGAGCTAACAGATGTGCTTCCTCATTCCACATACTCCAGGCATACAGTTATAGCCTCATAACCTGATGAACATTAGGTTAACATTATGCTTCTCCAGAGATCCAGCCAGATTTTTCTGTATCCTATCTGGAAATGATAGATCTCTTAGTGAACATTGAAGCTAATCTACTTCTCTCTTTAACAAAAAAAACGTGGATTTCTTGAAGACTATTAAGACAGGAGTCTAAAATTACTCAACGGCAGCACCAAGCAAGCAAACAGAGCTTGCAAATTGGTTACCTAGTAAACGTCATTTATTAAGTTATTCCATCTAATTATTGCTAATATTGGGGGAAGGAGAAAAATCTTCTAGAATGAAGTGCTAATTTTAATCATCTTGGGGAAGGAATTTTTTTTTTCTGCAGCCGTGGAAATGATGCTATTTTTCTTGTGGCAAAGCACAGGAGAAAAGAAGGAGGAGGAGGAAAATAAGTGAGGGGTCTGGTGGTCTCCACTGTCCAAGACAGCTCCCTGGAGATTTAACACCTTATTTTTGAAATCAGTGCTGTGCGGGAAA